GATATATCCCACTTGGTCTGGTGGATGATCTTTCTGATGTGTTGTTGGATTTCATTGGCTAGAATTTTGTTGAGGAATTTTGCATCTATGTATCAGGAATATTGGTCTGTAATTCTCTTTCTCTGCTGCATCTTTTTCAGGTTTAAGAATTAAGGTGATGCTGGCTTCATAGAAAGAATTTGGAAGGATTCTTTCAATTTCAATTGCTTTAAATAACTTGAAAAAAATTGAAGTTAGTTCTTTAAATGTCTGGTAGAATTCAGCAGTGAAGCCATCCAGTCCTGGGCTTTTTATTTCATGGCAGGGTCTTTATTACTGGTTCAATTTCTTTCTTGGTTATGGGTCTGGTCATGTTTTCTATGTCTACATGGCTCAATTTAGGTGGGTTGTATGTGTTCAGGAATCTATCCATTTCTTCTAGGTTTCCCAGTTTGTTTGCATAGAGCTCTGGTAGTAATTTATGATGCTTTTTATTTCTGTGGTGTCTGTTGTTATATTTCCCTTTTCATCTCTAAGTTTATTGAATTTGTTCTTCTCTCTCCTTTTTTTGGTTAGTTGGGCCAATGGTGTATCAGTTTTTTTTTTTTTTTAACAGCTCTTCATTTTGCTGATCTTTTGTATTTTTTTTAGGGGGACGGTTTCAATTTTGTTGATTTCTTCTCTAATTTTAATTATTTAGTTTCTCTTACTAGTTTTGGGTTTGGTTTGCTGTTGTTCTTCTAGATCCTTGATATACATTGATAGCTCATTTATTTGGTGCTTTTCCAATTTCTTGGTGTAGGCACCTATTGCTTTAATTTTTCTCTTATCACTGTGTTTGCCATATCCCATAAGTTTTGATATGATGTGTCACCACCTAGTTTGTTTCCAGAAATGTTTTTATTTCTCTTTCAATTTCTTCTGTGACCCACTGTTTATTCAGGAGCATGTTGTTCCATTTCCTTGTGTTTGTATATGCTCTAGAGATTCCCACTTTGGTGATTTCCAGCTTCATTCCATTGTGGTCCAAGAAGATGCATGGTATAACTTTGATATTTTTGAATTTGATGAGACTTGCTTTATGAGCTAGTAAGTGGTTAATCCTAGAGAAAGTTCAATGCACTGCTGAGAAGAATGTGTATTCTGTAGCTCTAGGATGAAAAGTTCTATAGATATCTGTTAGGTCCATTTGGTTAATAGTGTCGATTAAATCTGTTGTCTCCTTGTTGATTTTCTGTCTGGTTGATCCGTCCATTGCTGAAAGTGGAGTACAGAAGTCCCCCAATACTATTGTCTCCTTTAAAATCCCTTAATATTTCTTTTAAATAGCCAGGTGCCCTGTAATTATGTACATATACATTTATAATAGTTACATCTTCCTGTTGAATTGATCCCTTAATCATTATCTAGTGCCCTTCTTTGCCTCTTTTAACAGTTTTTGTGTTTAGGTCTGATATTATGGCTATGCCAGCTTTTTAGGTTTCAGTTTGCATGCAATATTTTTCTCCATCCTTTCACTTTCAGTCTGCATGTATTTTTGTTGGTGAGATGTGTTTCTTGTAGGCAGCAAATAGATATATTTTGTTTTTAATCCATTCAGCCAGTCTGTATTTTAACTGGGGAGTTGGTACCATTTATATACCAGGTGGCTATTGATAAGTAGCAATTTGGCCATACCATTTTCCCATAAATATTCCTATTGCTACTTTGTATTTCTTTTGTACTTTTGCTGAGAGATTTTCTTCCTTTACCTTCTTTGTAGAGATGACCGTGTTTCTATTTTTCTGTGTGCAACACATCCTAAAGTATATTTTGTAGGGCTGGAGGTGTAGTGCCAAATTATTTCAATTTCTATTTATGATGGAAGGTCTTTATTTCACCTTCATTCACAAATGAGAGATTTGCAGGGTATAATTTTCTGGGATGATAGTTTTACAGTTTTTTTCTTAAGACTTGGACTATATCTCACCATTCTCTCCTAGCATGTAGGGTTTCTAATGAGAAGTCCACTGTGAGTCTGATTGGAGATCCTCTGAAAGTAACCTGGTGTTTCTCTCCTGCACATTTTAGTGTCTTCTCTTTATGTTTTACGGTGCTGAGTTTGATTACGTGTCATGGTGAGGATCTTTTCTGATCATGTCTATTGGGAGTTCTGAGTGCTTCCTGTACTTGGAGGTCCCTATTTTTCTCCAAACCAGGGAAGTTTTCTGCTATTATTTCACTAAAATGGCCTTCTAATGCTTTCTCTCTCTCCATGCCTTCAGGGACTCCTAGAACCCACATTTTTTATAGTGTCCTGTAGATTCCCAACAGTGTTTTTTAATTTTATAATTTCCTCTTGTCTTTGGTTTTACTGTACTTTCCTGTGCTTTGTTTTCTAAGTCCTTTATTCTTTCTTCTGTTTCACTTATTCTGTTGTTAAGGCTCTCCATTTTTTATTTGTTCTATTGAGTTCTTCATTTCATTTTGATTTCTCTGTAAGATGTCAATTTCATGGGAGAAATTTTCTTTCATTCCTGCACAGCTTTCAGTAGTTTGTGCATTTGCTTTTTATTACTTCTATGTAATCTTATGATCAATTTTTTGAGTTCCATTTCTTGCATTTCTTCTATCTCATCATCTTGAAAATCTAGTACTGAACTGTCGTGTTCTCTTGGGGGCCTTATGTTGTCTTTCTTATTTTTGTTTCTTGGATTGATGTGTTTGTTGTTTGGCATTTGTGGAGATACTCGTTGGTTTCTTCTTCTTCTTCTTCTTCTTCTTCTTCTTCTTCTTCTTCTTCCTTTTTTTTTTTCCTGTGGCGGCTTTTATCATTGTACTATTGCTCTGTAGATAAGTGGGATGTCTGCTTTGTCTGCTTTCAGTGAATCTCTAGAGATGTAAGGGAGTGCTTAAGGTGACACACCCAGGTTTGGCGTGGTATCTCTCTCTCTCTCTAATCAGAAGAGAGATTTATTCTGCTCAGCTGATATCCTCTCCTCAATGGCAATCAGTGCCTGAGTGCTAGCCCCAGTGGGTATAGCATTTGTTTGCTCTGTCCCAAGGGCCACACAAAGGATCTGTGCAGTCCTCAGTGCAAGTTCAAATTCCCCAGCAATGTCTCTCACTAGGTAACCAGGAACCCCTGAACTTGTGGCATCTCCCACTGAGACAGCTGAAAGTCCCAGCTATACCATGAGTCCTCCCACACACCCTCAGTTTTTTTCACAGTCCTGGTAGAGAAGCCTCACACAGTCACAAGCTCCTAGTCCCCTGTTAGTTCTTTCCACCAGAGTCAGGAGTTTCCACCCAGCTGGTTGCTGGGTGCAGACATGATCTGGTACAGCTGCTACGTATGTCCAAAGTGGCACCCAGTTTATCAGCTTGTTACAGGACCCCATTGTAAAGTGATCAGGGAGAGAAACATGTCCAGCCCATCCTTTTATTTTTTTCCTCCTCTAGTTTGTCTCCAAGCTGGGTTCCCTCTAGGCTCTTCTTGCACCTTTTTCGCCAGTGGCTTGGGTTATTATGATCTGGTCTCATCTCACTTTCCAGTGCTGGTATGTAGGCTCTTGACTGCTGAAGTCCTGAGCACCCTCCATGTAGGTCCACTCTGTCCTTCTAATTGCACCAGAGTTTCCTCTGTTGTTTTCTCCCTAACTATTCCCTGAAATTACATTCTCTCCACTTTTTTTAAAATATCTTCTCCTGGGCTAGAGCAGTAAGCTCCCTCCCTACTCTATCATCTTTGAACTGCCCCATATAGTGCTTTAATATTGAATATAAACTTCTGAAATGTGTTTTGTTCACCACTCAGTCCCAAACACTGGAACAGAGATTACTACTATACAGTAGGAATTCAATAACTATTTATTTAAAGATTGGATTGGCAAAACAGTAGCCATTCAAGTTTTGAGCAAAGCTTTGAAGGAGCAGATAGATTTTGAGGCCTACTTTATACCACAAAGTTGCTAGGCATTTTAGATACATTACTTTTCATTGAGTTCTCTCACCAAAATTAGGACATAGTTATTAGCTCCACTATACGTATGGTAATTGAGGCTAAAAACAATGAAACAACTTAATCAATGTCATAGAACTACTATCAAGAACTTCGTTTGACACTGGAGTCTCAATTCCATGCTCCCTCATTGTCCCATTTTGCCAGCTCTTTGTTTTGGTCATTTTGTTCTCTAATGGGCTCATTCGCTAACATCTTTGGTTAAACAGAATTCCATGGCTGTGTTCTTCAAGGGACATTCTGATCATCAATTGGACCTTTATTAGGAAATATATAGGCTTGAGCTGCTGACTCTCATTTGCATGTATCTACTATGTTTCTCTATCTAAGCAAGAATGAATTTTGGCACAGTGACTCTGTTTCTTCTTTGCCTGCCCTCATTATCCCCTACTTCCTATCTTGCTGTGTCTCTGCGACATTCCCTAAACCATCCCTTCCCCTGACACTCTGCCTAAAACCCTACTTCCTATGTCTTTGCACTTTCATGCCTCTGCCTTTTTAAGCTCCTCCCAGCTCTATTCAAACTGCCACTTTACACCTCTCCCTTCCAGGGTCTCTTGTAACTTTCTATTCCCTGCAATAACTTGTTGCACAATTCTCTGTATGTTGAAGTATATTTAGTAATAACTGAACATAAAAATAGGAGAAATTACAGTTAGTAGGGATTTCTTATTTCTGGATGCACATTCATCATTTCTATAATGGCTGGAAGAACGAACCGAAGACCAAAATTATTTAGAATGAATGATAGTCTCATTTGCTTCATTTGCCCATGCATGGTGATCCCAGTTTCACTCAAGCCTCTGCAGTCACCTCCTATCTAGCCACGGTTTGGCAGTGGCAAGTGAATGCTTCAGAGAAAGAAGGACCTGGATTCACACTGGGACTCGGTCTTCCCAACTGTAACCTAGTTAATTTGCCTTCCTAATCCCAGTTCCTGTCTCTAAAATGAGGTAATTATATTGACTATTTCAAAAAATTCTTATATGGATAAAGGAACTAACACATGGGTATTTCTTACCAAAATGTCACATCCGTAGAAAACACTGAATAGTGACACTGTTCAAAACAGGTAAGAGTGTCACCCCAGCCCTCTGAAGAGTTTACATGGCATTCTTTGAAGGAATTCTAAGACAAAGGAGAATTCAATGTGGAATTTTTGCAACTTCTCTCACAGCCATGAAATCATTTGCTTATTTTTTATTACTAAGTGGTATCTCCCTATTCAGAAGAAACACTCGCTTTTCCAAAAGAATTTTTACTGATGTTTTAAATATGGTAGGTACCACTAGTACTAATAACAGGATCTCTGTTGTTTATTGCATGCGTATTAATCAGAAGTTCCCTCCTCTTTTGAAGTTAGGTGGAACCATATGAAAACCAATGAAATGGAAGCAAAACTAACATGCTCTTTTGCCCAAAACAATGATGATCCCTGCAGATTCTTCAATCTTTCTTTCTCTTGCCACAGTTATTTCAAACAAGATATGTACCAGTAGAACAGAACCAAAGGATCCAAGGCATTAGGTTTTAAAAAAAATTACTTATTTACTTATTTATTTGAAAGAATGACAGTAAAAGAGAAAAGAGAAGGAGAGAGAGGGGTAGAGAGAGCATTTTCTTTTTTTATAAAAATATTTTATTTATTTATTTGAGAGGTAGAGTTACAGACAGGAGAGGGAGAGAAAAAGAGAAAGGTCTTCCACCTGCTGATTCACTCCCCAAATGGCCACAATAGTTTGAGTTGGGGTGATCAGAAGCCAAGAGCCAGGAGCTTCCTCCAGGTCTCCCATGTGGGTGCAGGGGCCCAAGCACTTGGACCATCTACTTCTTTCCCTAGCCATAGTAGAGAGCTGGATCAGAAGAGGAGCAGCTGGGACTAGAACCGGCACCTATGTGGAATGCTGGTGCCACAGGTGGAGTCCCAGCCCACTATGCCACAGCACCAGTCTCAAGAGAGTGGTAGTTTTCTATCCCCTGGTACACTGCTCAAATGACCATAACCTGATCTGGAATAGGCTAAAGCCAGGAGCCAGTAACTGGGTCCTGGTTCCCCATGTGGGTGTCAGGTATTGAAGTACTTTTCCCATCTTCTACTGCTTTCCTAGGCGTGTTTGCAGGACACTGTTTTGTAATCAGAGAATCCTTGGGTGGACCTGGCAATGTGGTATGTGATGATGGCTTTTCAAGTGAGGACCTAATCGACTGTGTCATGAGGCTGGCCCTAGTATCGAGCTCTTAAATGGAAAGCAAGAGCTCTGAAGGGTTCTGTAGATTTCCAGCAAACTGTACATAAATGGGGGTGGGGAGACTTTTGTAGTAATGAATCAGTGCTACTAAAGAGTTGTTTATTGTAGGATAGTGTTTCCAGCCTGTCCATAAAGGGTTAATTCATTAGGCCTGAGTTATATAAGCCTTGCACATTCTCAGAAGGGCTTGTTTTCTTACCAGCCTCTTGGGAATTGAATGCTTAGAATGTTTTAAATGATAACAGTGCTTTGAGTATTTGGAGTCCTAAGAATTTTATACTAGCTTGTCTAAATAGTTGATTCAACATTATGATTTATGGTGAATATCTGTTTTCCTTTTGGAGAGCTGTGGTTAGAGTAATTATCCTCAGTCATAAAGGCATTGATGCAGCCTCCATAAAAACCACAGGCTCTTAGACTAAACCAGGCTTCCATGGTAAATAAGACTGCACTTATGTTGCCAGAGTTCATAGCAGGAAGAAACAAATGTGTCTTAGGTGACTGCATTGTAAGGAAACTCCTGGACAGTTAACTTCTAGCTTTTTCTAGACTTTGCATAATAGTATCACTTGGTGACTTTTACATTGTACACTTACATTCTAATAAATTGTGACCAGAATTGATTTGAGTCCTCTATATCCTTTTAGTGAGTCACTGTTTCCTGGTTAATCTTGAGGACTATAGGAAACTTCTCCAACCAATACAGAAAATCAGTACTGGAAAACTGGTGTTATAAAAAAGGAACCCTGAATATATAACAGTGCTATTGTAAGCACATAAAAGCTTGGTTATTTGTGTTCTAAATTTGTAGAACTTTTGTCTTATGTAATAGGTCATAAAATTCTTGCTTAGGGTGATTTGAGAATTGAATCATATAATAAGAAACGTGTCTTCTAAGTCTGGGTGGCAGTCAAGAGCAAAAATTTTGGAAAACAAGTTTTAATAGGGTGTTTGTGGTGGAATTGTCCTCACTGGATGGGGACATTCTGATAAAGTGAAGAGCCCAGCAAAGTATTAACTGTGGAATATAGTAGAGGAATTGCAAACATTGTAGGTCCTTCAAAGTTGGTGAAACTGTCTGCTTTTAGATTCTAGGCTCTAAATGATGAATATAATAAAGCCTTTGAATGTCAAAAGCTTATCAAAACTCAACCATGCAACAATGATTAAATTAATGAACTTCCTGCCTTTTGTTAAAACCCTCTTCATAGACTTGAGTTCCTTAAAGCAAAAATTGGATTGACTCAACAACCCATAAATTAATATCAGTATTTAAAATTTTATCAAGATCAGATTTATAATACAGCCCTTTCATCTACCGCTAATAATAGACAAAGTGAGTGGATAAAGGGAAGGAAGGGAGATAATAAATAAATAAAATCAAAGAACCACATTGGACTTAAGGGCATGTAAAGAATATTGGTACATGGATCTAAATTGATTCAAGTATATAAGAGCCCTTCTGTGGCTTTCTATTTTGAAAAATAATAATACTGTATTTTTCTAAAGAAATTTTGAGCCTAGCCTGGAAAAACCTGTGATTGTTTGAGACTGAAAACTAATATTCTCCTGCATCAAAAATATTATGTTCACCCACTCAGGAATCATTTCTAATAATTCTTATGCCTTTAACTCAAGACTGTAAAGACAATAAAAATAAAAGAAACTACAGTTTTGTATCAGATAGATTGGGGTTTGAATCCAAGTTCCATTATGGCCTAGCCATGGGACAGTGGGTAATTTAAGCAAGAATAATTATAACGCCATTCCAAATGGCCATTGTAAAGATTAAATGAATGTAATTGCTAAGTATAATTTCTGTCACATAGAGAGTACCCAGTCACTGTTAACTTCACATATCAAAATTATCCTTGGGCTTCTATGCTTCTATAGGCAAGTAGTGGGTTGAGAAACTGTTATTTTCCCTGTGAAGGACAGAGTCCCCAAACACTTCAGATATGAGCATAGGGAATATTGAAAGAGAAAGGAAATGAGAGAACAACTTTCAGATGGAGCTAGAAGGATCCTGAGGACAATGGGAAACGACTCTTCCTCCAGGAGACCAGGATAGTCTCCACCATCACGATAGGGAGCTCATAGGAGGTCTGCCCAGTGGGACTGCAGAATTTCCAAAGAAATTCTCATACTTTTTTCAAAATGAGACTGTTTATTGCAATTAGATTAGCTTTATTCAACCATTACATGGCAAGTGTTTTTGGAGGAGCAGAAGACCGTCATTTTAGAATTCATCGATTTTGCTTCAAAAGTAAATGGAGGGTCCGGCATTGTGGCATAGCAAGTTAAGCTGCTGCTTGCAAGGCAGGCATTTCATATGGGCACTAGTTCATGGCCTGGCTGCTCCACCTCCGATCCAGCTCCCTGCTAATGGCCTGGGAAAAGCAGCAGAAGATGGTCCAAGTGTTTGGTCCCTTGCTACCTGTATGGGAAATATGGATGAATCTCCTAGGTCCTGGCTTTGGCCTGGCCCAGCCTTGGCTGTTGCAGCCATCTAGGGATAAGTCAGCAGATAGAAGGTCTCTCTCTCTTTAACTCTAAATTTCAAATAAATAAATATTTTAAAAAAATAAATGGAGATCTGATTAGATCTGAACCAAACCTATCATAGATGTTCAACATCTAAATTTTAGAGATATTACTATGTAATGTTTGGGTAATTTTTGGTAAGAGGTTGTGTGTTTTCAAAAAAATTAAATATCAGTCATAGAAGAAAAAACAATGCAGCAACACTACCTATGCTCATGGTATCTAATTCTCCTTTTCTGCCCTAGTTCAAAGGAATTGCACTCAATGTCCTTACAGTAGAAATCATGTGCCTTGTCTTAGCTAATAAAATATTATTTTCAGGGTGAAAAGACAATGAAAAAGAATTCTAATCTCATCAAAGCACTATTTCGGCAATTACAAAGGGATTATCATATTTTGATGGCCAAGTTCCAAAAGTGCAGCAGGCTGAATGGTGGAGAGCTGCAACTAAGAGTTTTGTAGACCCATTAAGAAATTAACATTATTATATGCAGCTGAAGAGGCTTATGGTTACCTGTTAAAGCAATATAGCTTAGCTCATTCTGATTAAAGCAGTGAGTACTGCCAAAGATTTGTGACTGAAATTTGTTTTCAGTAGTTCTAAGGAGGAGTGGAAGAGGGAATACTCCAAAACTCATGTTACAGGACTGGCAAATTATAGATCAATATCCCTGATGAGCGTAGATGCAAAAGTCCTCAACCAAACACTAGCAAATCAAATTTCATAGTACATTAGAAGATCATTCATCATTACCAGTTGGTATTTATTCCAAAAACACAAGTATGACTCAACAAGGATGGCAAAAATATAAATGTGACATGACACTTTAGCAAAATGAATGGCAAAACCCAGATGATCCACTCACTAGATTGAAAATCATTTGACAATATTTGATATGCCTTCAATAAAATAACTATAGAAGGAAGTTACCACAACATGATAAGGTCATATATGGAAGATTTTCAACTAGCATCTCACTAACAGTAAAAAGTTGAAAGTTTTTCTTCTGTGATCAGAAAAAGACAAGAATGCCAACCCTCACAACATGTGTTCAACTTAATACTTGAAGTCTTATCCAGAACGCTTAGGGAAGAAAAAGAAATAAAAATGCTAAATACTAAAGGAAACAGTTAGATGGTCACTGTTTATAGATGGCAAGATATTATGTATATAAAATGAAACCTTATAACTCCACCAAAAAAAAGAAACCTTTATAAACCATAAACTAATTCAATACAGTTGCAGGATACAAAGTCAAAACCCAAAATTCAGTGGAAATTCTATATACTAACAGAGAACTACACAAAAAGATTAAGGAAACAAT